TCCAGTGCCTGGAAGAGCCTGCATCAACAGGACAGACAGGTGTCCCTGCTGTTCGCATAGGCCCCTGCAGGACTGGGAGGTGAGAGGCAGGTCTTTCCATCAGGCTGAGCATTTCCTGGTACAAAACTCTATGTGCTTTTCTCCCTTAGGAGCAGTCTGCTGAGGACCACAAGGCGCAACAGTCAGGAAGAGCCAACTCTAAGAATCCTTTGATGAAAGATCTTCCTGACAACAAGGAAATTCTGGATCATCTTCACCACACTTTAATACTTTTACATTACACAGCTTGCCTCTGAGTTTGTGGGATATATATAGCTTGCAATAACCGGGAGCAGGATTAGTGTGGAGCCAGAGAGATTGGAGTTCTTTTCCTGAACCCCTTTTGTCCTTTGGGGAACACTGGATCAGCCAGTGTGCTTCCATGATGTGTTGTCCTTCAAAAATTGCATTATTTATTTATTCTTTGAAAATTTCATGCACAAAAACTAGATATCTGGTTTATATCCAACCCCTGCTCCCTCTTGTAAACCCTCCCTGTCCCTACAACACGGTCCCCTCCCACTTCATGTCCTTTTTTTTTAATAATCCACTGAGTCCAGTTACGACTGCCCATATGTGCATAAATGTGGGGTCACCTATTGGAGCATGAGTAACCTACCAATGGCCACACTCTTAAAGAAAAGTGCCTCTCCATCTCCAGGAAACCATCAATTCCCCACAGCTCCTCAGCTAGAGGGAGCTGGGTGGCTTCTTCCTGATCTGTGTTGTAATTTTTAACTGGTTTGATATTTTGTACATAATTGGAGCTGCTGTGAGTTTGTGTGTGCAACGGCAGTATCCTATCCAAAGGACAGCATTTCATGTCATTCTTCTCTGTCTTCCCATCACCCTCTTCCACATGTCGCCCATCCCTGTGGTACAGGCATGCTTTAGATGTCCCACCTGTCACCATCCTCTTCTTCATGTCCCCCATCCCTGTGGTACGGAGTGATTTAGATGTCCTGTCTGTGACTCAGCTCCTACTCTCAGAATTTTGACCAGTCACGAGTCTCTGTATTAACCATCACCCACAGCAACAAGAAGGTTCTCTGACCAAGTTTGAGGGCAACACAGATCTATGATCGTAAATATAAATACTTACATAGTAGTTTGACAACCTGACAGCTTAGAAAAATAACACCAATATATTCCACCCTTGAGACTTTGACTTCCAACCATGGGTTTTGACCACTTTCCCGTTACCAAGCATAAACTTGCTTCTGTGAAGCAGGCTTCACATCAAATTAAAAATGTGGTTGATTATTTCATGAACAGTCTCGCCACGACTGGACCACTGCTGCAGATCTTGCCTGGCAAGTCAGTATTGTGCATGATGCACCCAGTAAGACCATTGGTGTCTTTCCTACCCCAGAAGCCTTTGGTACACCATCTAGCTCCCAAAAAGATACTCTTCAGAGAAAGAGTTTTCTGGTCAGTTTAAGACTGATTGATCTATTCTCTGCTGCCAAATTGTGCATTGTCTTCTGCAACAGGGTCTTAGCATCCTATTGTCTAGTAGTGGTAACCAACCAAAGGCAATGGCAATAGCCCACACTGATTTGATTGCCTTGGGGCTCTCCTTGACCAAAAATGCGTCAGACACAGCCTGTGCCTGGAGCTGAGATTTTCGTTTAATCATTCATGTCTTTTGGGAACCACAATGTCTCTCTATGTGGCATACCTCTATTCAAACTCCTTTAGAGATATTTTTAATTAACTTACATACTAGTGAGGTTTCATAAATCTTCTTCATACCTTTAGCTTTGGTTAATGCTGTGGGATAGCTTTCCATGTGCTGTGAATATGTGTGGCTCCCATTGGATAATAAATAAAGCTGTTTTGGCCTATGGCAAGAAAGCCCACAGCCAGGTGGGAAATCCAAGCAGAGATACAGAGAGAAGAAGGAGGAGATACTACTAGCCGCCATCAGGAGAAGCAAGATGTGAAAGTTCTGATAAGCCCCAAAGCCAAGTGGCAAGAATGATTAATAGAAATGGGTTAAGTTACAAGGGGTAGCTAGTAAGAGGCTTGAGCCATAGGCCATATAGTTTGCAATTAATATAAGCCTCTGAGTAATTATTTTATAAGTGGCTGTAAGACCACTTATACAGGTGGGAGAGACTTGTTTGGACCTTGGGACTGGGCAGGACCGGAGAAATATCCAGCTACAGGTTAACCCAGCTGCAATCCCTCCACTCCGCTTCTTCTTTAGTTCCATCCCCAGTTAAACCTTTAAACTCAGTCTTTTCTCTGCCATTTTTTTTTAATTCCACATGTGTTCTACTATTCCCTCTTACTGTATTTGTTAGTTGTGGGATCACAGGTCCCCAGGTCTCCTTTCCATGCGTCCTTCATTGTGGTCAACACTTCCCCTTGCTTCTCGTTTCTCCTCATCACCACCACTCCACTTCCTGTTGTACCTTTGTGCCCCCAGGGTCCCCTATTTATTTTCACTTCAGATGTGGCCTACTATTCCCCCCCTCCTCCCTCAGGGCATGCCCCGTCCATTGGCCTGACTTCTACATACACTACATGTCACACAAACAAAACGACAGATTTGAAGACATGCTAAAAGGCACACATGCTTGTTAATCATCTCCGGGATGGCAGTGGGATTTCTGATGAGGAGCTTTCCTGGGAGACCAGGTCCCTCCTTAGAATGTGAACCTGCCCGGGAGAGCAGAGGGGGCCAGGAGAGCAGCTCCACTCCAGGTTCTAGTCAGCCAGTGTGACCCAGCCCTGCTACACTCCGGGTCTGAAGCATTCCTGCGTCAGAGTCACCAGGGAGCTCTGGACAGTTCAGCAAGCTCTCTGTCTTCTGGGTTGGAAGAAGGAGCTAAGACAGACGAGGCCCCTGGCACACAGATCTGAAGTGAAAGGCCAGACCTCCAACCTCAGCAAACCCAGCAACTGTCCTTTCATTTCAAGGATGAAGCTTCACCTCCCTCTCACTTGGTTTCTGCCACCAAATTGTTCATCACGGATGCTGCTGGCCGATGGGGAGTTTTATGTGCAGGGAGGGGGGGGGAGTTTTCTAGATGAAAGCATCTTAGGCAATTACACAGATAACATCCTGTGTTACTCACTCACCACCAACTCGAGATCTCCCATAATTTGTGTCTCCCTGACTAACAAGGACTTAAAAAAGAAAATGACGTTGTTTACTCTGAACAAACTGTTTCTCCCAAATTGGAGTTCAGCTACCAACATGATGGTCCAGTGTCTCTTGTCCATTTACCTCTGCTCATGTTTCTAGAACTAATTCCCTCTGAACTGCGGCAGAGTGCAAGCCGCTCACTGAGGTCTGTACCCTGCTAGGACACAGATTTTGGAAGAAAATTATTTTCCTTGACTGAACAGAAAATCAAAAAATTAAGCTTATTCCTGCAATTAGCTAACTTATAGAAACACTGACATCAAACGAACCTAAGAGTCAAAGGAATCCTTGATTCAAGTATGTTTTCGTCTTTCTGAGATGAGAAAGCTCAGAGTCCTCTGCATGGGTGAGGGCCATGGAACACCCACCACCACCACCACCACCACACACACACACACACACACACACACACACACACACACACACACACACACGTCTCTCCTCTCTCTGGAGGTTGTGGGCTACATTGTATAATCACTGCAGCAGGCTGTAAATGATGTATGAAATTAAAAAAATATATCCCACTCCAGGGAACTCAGCCAAGACTCTATGTTCGTGGCTATTTTAGCTAGTGAGGCTTGGCAGGCCCTGGCAAGCTGGGCCTGCGGAGAGAGGCAACCACTGGAGACACTAAGCGATGCTCTTTAAAAATCGATGTTGTTCTTCCTCCACCCTCGCCCATCTTGTAGGGAGAGTGTCAAGCAAAATATTTCGACAGAAACAAAGATGTTATAATGAATCAGCTGAGTTGTCCTTCAAAGTGTTTCTGAGTCATCTTTAGAGATTGGTCTCCAGCTTCCTGAGTGGGAAGTGTGGCCCACCCCATACTCAGAGTCCTTCTCTAGATCTTGACCTATGGTCTACCTACATTTGTGGGACTGAAGTACTGTCAATCAAATTTGGCCATGTGCTTGGGGCATGTGTCCTTGTGCATCTATAATTTACAATCCACCATTTCATCATGAGCCAGTATCTCAAGGCATTAAATAGACTTGAGCAATACTAATAAATTCATGTTTTAAACAGCCTTCTTGAAAAACCCAAACATTTTACTACCTTGTGGCTCTGTTACTTCATTCAATTCATTCTTATCATGTTCTCCTTGATCTCCAATGGAGAAACGATTCCATATGGGATAAGAGTTCTGCCCTTTAGGTTCACTTACATGTCAGCATCATGGTGGTGATCCTGGTGGGTTGTTCATAACAACCAGGTAGATAAAGAGTAATGAGGTGGGGCACCCTGTTTGACGTTCCAAGCACAGTTTCACTGACTGCCTTTGTCTAAAGAGTTAGAGGATGTGAAAGCAGGAACTCTGAATGAAGACAGCCATGCAGAGGGCACAGTAGGCACACAGGAAAGAATTGAATGGAAGGCAGTGTTTGCATCTCTGCTAATCATTATTGTTCATCCATGTTGTTGTTTATTTGGGGAACTACCTAGAATTGGAATGGCCAAATCATGTGAGAGGGCAAGGCTGAGCTCCTTTACAGACCTGGAGTGGGGGCAGGGGGTGGCATGATGGCTCAGTGGGTGAAGGCATTTGCCACCAAGCCTGATGATCTAAGTTAGATCCTTGGATCCTCTATGGCTGGAGGAGACAATAGACTCCTGGGTATTATCCTATAACCTCCACAATCATCCCTGGCATGAGCACCTTGGCATGTGCCCCAAGGCAATACAAATAATTACTTTTAAAAAGAAAAAAAAATTCATGGAAACTTTTTCAAAGCCATTTTTAATTCTTCACGAGAATTCAATACCTGTACATCACAAAAGTCCCAGCATTCCACAAGAGTTCCAGTACCTGTACATTCTGTTCATCCCCTGTGAAGGTCAGACTGAGTTTTGGTCATTGTGGAAGGTGTGTGGCAGCCTCTCATTATGGTTTAATTTCAGTTGCCCCAGTGGAGAGTGATGTTGAGCATCTTGTGGGTGCTATTTACCAGGATTTTCTCCCCTTAGTGAAGTGTCTGATTGATGGATGTTCAGATCTTCTACTAAATTTGTAATAGGTGAATCTATGTGCTTATAATCAGTTGTGGCTGTTCTTTGTGTGGCCACCATCCTTTTCCAGAAGTATGCTGTGAGGTCTAATCTCAAGTGTCAGTTTGACACACCTGGGAAGAGGGAACAAGATTTTCTCCATCAGAGTAGCTTGTGGGCATGAATGTGGGGACACTGTCTTGACTAATGGATGGTGTGGGAGAACCCAGACCTCTGCAGATAGTGCACTTCTGGATGAGTAGTCCTGAGCTGCATAAGAAAGCAGGTTGAAGTGCACAAGCCCCCTTTCCTGGACAAATGTAGCTGTCACTCTTTATGGAAAAATTCTCCCTTTACAACAGGTGGAGACCACCGAAGAAAACCACAGCTGAACAGTGCAGAGATAAACACATCATAGGGAGCTCAGCCCTCACTGACAGATATGTCTACCTCACAGCTCCTGCATCTGTGGTTCATGACAGAAGAAGGGGCAGAAAGACTGTGAGAACCAGAACACCAGGAAGTCGGCTATGAAACTGTCTCTCACAGAAATGGCTACATAAGTAAGGCCCGAATAATTACAATATCAATGGACATGTTAACATGGATGGGGGAAATTTCACAGGTCCCTCCTATAGACAAAGAACTACAAGTAACTATTGACTCCTTGGAGAAGGACAATTAACCCCTCCAAGGGATGAGCCCCTCTATTGGTTGTCCAATGTAGAGTGGTCATCCTTGAAACCATATACACACCCATCCCCAGAACAAACTCAGCAGGTTGTATTTATGTATACTTGTGTGTATATACATTCCCCACCCCCACACATGTATGTAACAATAATAATTAAAGAAAAAGAGGCTATCAACTTGAGAATGGGGACCATGGGAGGGACTGGAGGGAGGAAAGGGAGGGGGAAGTGATAAAATTCTATTATTTTATCTATCTAGAACTTACAAGTATGTTTAAGAAGAAAGGAAGTAGGCTGAGCAAGCCATGGATGGCAAGTCAGTGAGCAGCAGCGTTCCTCCATGGCCTCTGTTTCTATCCAGGACTCCAGGTTTCTGCCTTGAATTCCTGTTCTGACTTCCCTCAGTATTGAACTGTGCCTTGGGAGTTCTAAAGAAAATACACACTTTCCCCCCATTAAGCTGTTTTTCACCAATGTTTTATCAGCAACAGAGGGGCAAACTGATTGGAAGCATCCTTCCCTGCGTGTGACCCACCCTTTCCCAGTCTTCACACGCTGACTTCTTCTTAGGGTCGACATTTCACACCTTTGCTCAAGTCCAGCTTGTCTGCTTCCTCTATGATTGGTGCTTTTGAGGTGGTAATTGAAGAAATGCTCTCATAACACAAGCTGACACAAAGTGCTTCGTGTTTTCTTCTATAAATTCATAGTATTTGATTTTACACGTAAGTGTGTGGTTAGTTCATTTTAGTGTCTCGTGCAGGGTACAGTTTGCATTACATTTTTGTTGCAAAAAAAAAAAAGTCAGATATTTGCTGTTGTCAAAATGACTCTTCTTTACTCCTGAATTGTCTCTGTCCATTGCCTGATCCATGTGTATGTATCCATGTGTATGTATCCATGTGTATGTATCCATGTGTATGTATCCATGTGTATCCATCTGTAAGCGGCGCCCCCCCCTCCCCCATGATCTACTTTTCCGTATTTACAGGAACACTGCTCTTTGTGGCTAAACATTGCCACTATCCTTTACATTACTGAGTTTTACGAAATCAGGCACTATTAATCTAACTTTGCATTCTTTTGCAAAATCATTTTGGGGACTACCCGTCATATGTCAACTTAAATGGCCAACAATGTCACCTAGGATTTTAAATAGGATTGCTTTGATTCAGTTTTAGGCAAATTGACATCATAATATCATCAAGTTTTCTAATTCCTGCATACAGCTTCCCACTTAATTGCTTGTTTAATTTCTCACAGCAATGGTTTTTTTTTTTTGGAGTGTGCAGATTTTTCATTTATTTGGCCATATTAATCTTTATTTATTTGTTTGAATTTCTTGCCAATGTTATTACTTTAATTTTAGTTTCCAAGTTTTTTTTTGAAAATATAGAAAAACAAAATTGACTGATGTGTGTTAAGCAACCCTGTTTAACTAGCTTTAGTATATTTTTAAAGTGGGTTTCTATAGCTCTTCTGCACGGATAAATCATTGTGTTAACTGTCAACAATAACAGTTTTAGCCATGACTTCAACATAGACACTTCTTTCAAATTTATTTATTTTTTTGCCTGGTTACAATAGCTGGGACCTCCAACCCAAAGCTGAGTAGAACTGCTGATGTATGACATGTTAACTTTTTCCTGATCTTTGAGCTGAAGGAGCCAGTCTTTTACTTGTAAACATGTAGCTAGCTATGATTTTTCATGACTTACCCTGAACAGGTAAATGAGATTTTCTCTTGTTCAAGCATGCTGAGTGCTGGGAGAGAAAGGTTGTTGAATTGTATGAAATGCACTGGTGTGTTTATCAAACCACAGGATTCCTGCTGCTTTGTCAGTGTGACAGTTTGCATTGTGACTGACTTTTTAAATTTTTATTTAGATTTTTTTTCATTTATTTTACATACCAACCACAGTTTCCTCTTCCCTCTCTCCTCCCATTCCCTCCCCCAACTCCCATCATCTCCCCACCCCCATCCACTCCTCCTCTGACTCCATTCAGAAAGGGGCAGGCCTCCCATGGGCTTGAAAAAAGCATGGAACATCAAGTTGAGGTAGGACCAAGCTCCTCCCCCTGCATCAAGCCTGGGCAAAGTAATCCAGCATGGGAAATGGGTTCCCAAAAGCCAGCTAAGCACCAGGGACAGGTCCTGATCTCATTGCTAGGAGCCTTACAAATAGACCAAGCTACATAACTGTCACACACAAGCAGAGGGCCTACCTAGGATGATCCCATGCAGGCTCCCTAATTGTTGGTCCAGAGTCCATGTGCTCCCATGAGCTCAGGTCAACTGTCTCTGTGGGATCATCATCATGACCTTGACACCCCTGCCTCATATAATCCCTCCTCCCTCTCTTCAACTGAACTCCGGGAGCTCAGCCCAGTGCTTGGCTGTGGATCTCTGCATCTGCTTCGGTAAGTTACTGAATAAAGGCTCTCTGATGACAATTAGGGTAGTCACCAATCTGAATACAGTAGATACCCAGTTCGGGCACCCTCTCCACTATTGCTAGGAGTCTTAGCTGGGGTCACTCTTGTGGATTCCTGAGAGTTTCCCTGGCACCAGGTTACTCCCTGACTCCGAAAGTGTCCCCCCATCAAGACATCTCTTTGGTTACTCTCCTGCCTTGAACGTGAAGCTGACATTGCAGTCTTGATATAAAGTAAACCTAGTCATAATCCATAGTTTAGTAGTTAGGATTTTGTTTATAGATCATTTGCATGGATATTCATGGTGAAATTGATCTGCATCTTCTTGCCTGGTGACATCGAGTATTAGGGCGATTCTGGACTTACAAACTGAATTGGGAACCAGGTATTCATTTGCAATTTCAGGAACGGTTTTTATGGAGTTGACATTATCTTATCTATATATTGTCTGGAAAGCCCCAGTGAAATCATTTAAGTCTGTGTTGTTGTTGTTGTTTGTTTTTTTTAATGTATCTCTAAGTCTTGACTAATTAATGAGCTTGTTTGATTTGGCTATAAGATGTCATTATGTAGCCAGGCAGGTCTCAAACCTAGGACCCTCCTGCCTTGGCCACTGGAATAGCTGGGATTGTGGGAGTTTGTTACCAAGCCAGCTAAGTTTAGGATTTTGCTTGTGAGAAAGTTGATAACTCCAAGTTTAAAATGCAACAGACAGAGCATTACCCATAATCTCCATCTGAATGGGCACTGAGTAGCTCATGTTCGCCAAGATTCATCCAGTTTGTTAAATTTATTGGTGTGAAATCATTCCTTTTTATGCTTCTATATATAATATGGTGATGCTGCATCTTTAATTCCCAGTATTAATAAAAGCTGTGTTTTGGTTCTTACTTTAGAGCCAGCCTGGCTGGAGAATTCCGGTCACTGACATTCTCCGGGAAGGAATTGATTTTTAGCACTCCTCTGCTCCTTTCCATTTTCCCTGACATTTGTTCTCATGTTTATTTCCTTACAGTTTTCTTACTTTGGGTTTCACATTTTTTAAAGGGCGGTTCTTACGGCAGACAGTGAAGTCACTTACTGGAGAGCTTTTGTTTCTCCAGTGTTGACATTCTGTTCTGTTTGTTCTCCTGTATCATGGCTTTATTGGCGCTATGCAAACGTCACCACAGCGTTTTCTTCTTCCTCAGGTTCAGTGTGCTCTCCAGTTTCCATTTCCATCATTTCTTTTGTGTGAGTGTATTAATCACTCCTCAGTATTCATGGATTTCCAGAGATTTGCCCGTTTTTAATTAAACGTAATTCATGGTGGTCAGAATTTATCCTCTATGGGTTTATTCTTTTCTGTTTATTCATACTCATTTTGTGACACTGAATAGAATCTGCCTCAAAAACAGTTTCCTGGGAATATTTTCCATTCTGCTGCTTATTGGATATTTACTGTGATATTTACTGTTAATTAGACCAAGTCAGTTGGTAATGTGGTTTAAATCTTTTGTACCTTCCATAAATTTCTATCAGCTTTACCACCTATTAAAAGATGGATTAAAATATTCTGGCATAATAGTAGACTGATTTTTTCTCTCCTGTTTCTTAATAAGCTGATTTTTTTTTCCTGACTGACCACATACCTAGCAATCTATGACTGGGACATAGGGAGTCTGGTTTGACCTTGCTGGGTTCTGCAGTGTTTGCATTCCTACAAATGTTTTTTAGCTTTGTTCAAAGACACAGTCTATTTGCAAACAGTATGATCAGTTGGCTCCTGCTGTGAAGCTGTGTGATGTGGGACTTGGATGGTGCTCCCTCTGATGCTATTAGTTCCTCCTCTGCTTTGGCAATAGCACTGAGTCCTGTTCAGGGTCCTGCAAGTCATGTTCTAGGCGGTGGTGGGAAGGAGCACTGGCTCACCCTGTGTGACACCGAGCAATATTCCCAGGTTCCTTTGAGAAGTTCTGAACTTACACAGTCTCCTCGTTTACGCCATCCAGTCAGGACAAGGCAGGGTGCTTGCACACTGCTGCCTTCTGCAGATCTGTGGATCTCCCCAGTTCTGTTGACTTCCGTCTCCCAAACTTTTCAGGTCCTCACATCAAAAGTGAGAGCACTGTTGTTGTTATGAAAACCCAGAACCTCTTCTCAAGCAGAGGCCACATACTCATCCAAGTGTCACCGATGACCTCACAGAAAGCAATAAGATCGTTCTTACCCTGTGTAGCTGCCTCTTCTGTACCCAACATGGGTCATTCCCTTCTCACCGGCTGACATGGAGAACTGAATGGGCTGTTTTCAGATCTGCTTGGATACGGAGAGACAGAGAAGACGACACCTGCTCAGCTGCCATGTTGCCCTGCTGGAGATTGAACTCAAGGCCTCACACACGCTAGCCAAGCCTTCTGCAGCTGATGCACACCCCCAGCTCAGTCTTCTCTGGAAACAGGATACAACCTTTTCTATACCTCATGGAGAGAGACGTCCACCCCTGCCCAGTGATCAAGATTGCAGGTGAGGGGGGCCATGCTGGGCTCTTCCCTTGACCAGGATTGGATTTAATTTCCACACAAAACTACCACCCTGTAACCAGGACATTGTTCTTCAACAGATACAATGGTATTTCAAGCCTTGAATACAAATACTCATCATGTTAAATCAACCCTTATTTTACAATAAGGGTTATTTCCCCCAAGTCGTTAGGAGGAATGCGGTGTAGGCAGTAAGCCCAATGCTAATTTCCTCTTTAAATCCATGTGGGAACATTAGTGGCAGGAATGCCCCATTTAATCTTCATCTTCCAGGACCCCAAGCGCTTACATTCCTATCTTCAGACTCCATAGTTCACCAGGTGGTTAGCTTGGCTTGTTTGAATTTTCGGCCACCCAATTGGATTAATAAAGCTTCCTCACCTTGGGAAGTGGCCTTCAATAAACATGACTTCTCTTTTTCCACCCACTCACAGCTTAATAGGAAATATCCCTCTGTGGCGCTGTTAAATGTGTCTGGTTGGAGTGAGGAAGCAGAAGTATTTTATAAGGTGGGTGTAGTCACACAGGTATCCTTAGAGAAGATTGATAAGCTATGATTAGCAGACATGAAGATGTACAGATTTTAAAGTGACAGTTTGATGAATTCTGACAGTTTTTCCGCCTGTGAAATTATGCCCCGCGTTGGGGACAGCATGTTTCCTTCCATCCTGTCAAAAACTCCATCTCAGCCATTCTTACTTCTGCAACAATGGCTTCCCGATCACTGCTGCCCTTGGCTTTCTGTTGCTATGATAGAGCACTGGTCAAAAACTGATCAAAAGGAGCTTGGGCGATTCATGGGTTTATTTGCTTGACAGCTTACAATGCCTCATCAGGGGAAGCCAAGGCTGGACCTCTTACTGGCTTGCTCAGCCTGCTTTCTTATATAGCCCAGGCTCACCTGCCTAAGGATGGTTAACAACTGATGCCTTCCCACACCAATTAGGAATCAAGAACATGCTTCACAGACATGACCACAGTCCAATCTTATGGGGCAATTCCTTATTCGAGGTTTTCTTCTCCCACGTGACTCTGGATTTGTGTCAATTTGAAAGTTGAAGCTAACGGTGACAATTGCTATCTTAATTTTGTTTTAATAACCACCTGTGATTTTTTTTTTTTTTTTTTTTTTTGACAGATTCTCACTTTGTAGTCCAGGCTGGTCTCAAATTCAGCATGTATCCCAAGACATCCCTGAAGTTGGGGTAGACTCCTGCTTCAGTTTCTCAGAGTACTTGGATTGCAGGTGTGAGCTGCCATGCCTGGCTAGTTTTCTTGCTTGTCATTTTAATGAAATCATGCCATGTAAAACTTGCCAATTCTACATGTGCAAATAGTTTGCTATTTTTTTTATTGTACTTAGTCTATTTTATAGGCACTCTAGAATTGCCTGTCTTTTCTATCAATTGGTATATAGGATTCTTTTTTTGTTTTTGGTAGCAATTGACTTTTATATGCAAGTCTCTTTGTTGAAATCTGTTTTCATTTTTCACAAGCAAATGCATTAGAAGGGAAGCTCTGGTCATTTATTTCGTCAATGAATTTCTAATTTAAAACAGTAGAGCTGCTCTGTCTTTGTGCCACACCATGTCGACTGGGATATATCAAAAACTGGAATCCCTGTGTCTGGGATTTGAAACTATTGGAAGACTCAGTCCCTTTGTACCTGTGCAGCCCGCGCTGGTGAAGGCAGTGCCTTAGTCGAGGTTGAGTACAAGTGTCTCGCTGTGTGTCTCTGGGGAGAGGGAAAGACGTCCAATGAGCAGATGCCTCAAGAGGAGTGTTGGCTAGAGTTCTGTGCCCAAGCCTTGCTCATAGCAATCGGCACTTTCACCTTCTGGTGTATGAGGTTAGGGAATCTGACGACGACAGTTGGATGGGCCGTAGCCCCTTATTATAAGTGAATGATTGCAAAAACAGTCGCAAAGCCAGCTCATGAGCAATGAGAGAGCTGGAAAAGTCAGCCCAGGCCTGTAGACAGCCCTGTGAGCAAGTCCGGCAACCTCTTCAGGCGCCCAATTAAGCACAATGAACAATGCTCCTAGACTGCTGCTTGGATGTAAACAAAGCAGTCCTCTGTGTAAACTGCATTAGCTCCACTAACTTCACATGAGCATTCTGATAATCTTTTGTTTAACTTTATTCTGGATTTTAAAACTCTGACATGTATAAGGTACCCATGCTTACCAATATTTTTGTATTAAATAATGTGTTGTGAGTCCTCCTTGTTTGTTTTTAAATAGAGATAAGGAAGGTCCTGAATTCTAAACATCATCCTCATCCCAGTTATGTTTAAAACTAATAGCATACACAAAGTAAAAAAAAGTTTCATATAATAGATGTGGTGATGAGCTACTTAGATTTCCTGGGGTGCGGTGAAAATGAAATTTGAGAAATGAAGGTAAATGGGAAAAGAATATGCATGCCATGTACACAGTGATCACTTTTCACCTGGAGGCAGCTATGAGAAAGCATTGTCTCAGACATCTCCTGCTTACTGTCAAGTTGTCAGGAGTACTATGGGATGGCACCTACCTCATTTTCTTCCAGTGTTGAAGACACAAAAGAATCGCCTCTTCTGCACTGGGGAAGACTGTAGGGTTCCATACAGATCTCTCGGGAGCTTGTTGATGTTGATTAGAATCTATTTCTCCACCCTCCTTTTTCCTGACTTCAGGATTGCTTGTGGTAATCAAGATACTTCAGTAGCCCCTCCTGCAAAACCTCCATTCCTGTAAGTCTGTCCAAACACAGACAGTGATGGAGAGGTTTGCTCCTTTGAATTTTGACAGCCTTTTCTAGAGCTAGGGATGGAGCGTAGTGAATAGATAGCTTTGCCTACAATGTGCAAAGTCCCTAGTTCCATCCCCAAATCAATAAAAACAGCTGTGTTGGCACACACCCATACTCCGAGCACTCTGCGCTGACGGGCAGAGTGAGTTCAAGACCAGTCGGAGACACACGTGATCAGATAAAACACTCAAACAAGTAGAACAACAAATCCTTAGTTCTAAGACTTCTGATGATTAATTCTTGCTGTGAGTTTTCTGTTCCTTCGTGGTCCATTGGCTCTTCCAGAAGTTTCCAGGGGATTTGCTGGTGAATACTGCAATGCTCTAATGTCAGGCATTTCTAATTCTCCTGATGTATATGTTCCCACTTTCTGTGATTTGCATCACGTTACAGATTTCTTTCCAAGGGCTAGACCGGAACTAATCTTACCCAGACATCTACAAGTGCTTTGGTATCTGCTTGTCTATTTTCAATTTCCTTTGAGCGAGGTTTGTTCTTCATTTGCTACTTGAAGTGAAACTTAGCAAGACTTCAAAGTCATTGGTATTCAGTCTGCAGACCTGTCTTCTCACAGGGAGGAGGGACTAAACTTCATCACTCCGTGCCTTGTTACAGGGTCAGTCAAGGACTTGAGGGCCACTGAAGCAGGCAAGTTAGAACTACTTTCTTTCTGAATTAAATTGGAGTTTTACTGAAATGAAAGACATAGCCTTGTTTCGTTATTCATGCCAATCATGCCCCATCAAGCTACCCAAAATACTAAGTGAATGAATTCTTTCCCTTGAATGTTTATGCATGTGTTGCGCATGCATGTGTGTTTTTATGCTTATGGATGTGTGTGTGTGTGTGTGTGTGTGTGTGTGTGTGTACACATGCATGTGAGCATTTATTTTTTAATTCATGAATGAGGAGACCCAAACTAGATGTCACCTTCCCCTTTCTTGAGGCAGGGTCTCCCTGAACATGGATCTCTCCAGTTCTGCCTAGTCTACTTACCTAGCTTACCCAAGGGATTCCCTGTCTGTCTCCTGAGCTCCTGTCTGGCTCTTCTGTGGTTCTGGGGACCTGAGTCCTGGTCTAATTGCTCAAATAGCAATGCTTTAACCACTGAACCACCCCCCAGTCTCTAAGTTAGTGAATTCTTTTTAAAAATTTACTTCTTTTATTTTTTGAGAGTATAATATAGTTACATCATTTCCCCCACCCCCTTTCTACCTCCAAATTCTCCCATATACTCTTCCTTGCTCTCTTTCAAATTCACGGCCTCTAAATTCCACAATTGTTATTACAGACATATTTACGCGCGCGCACGCACACACGCTCCAAATCTCTCTCTCTCTCTCTCTCTCTCTCTCTCTCTCTCTAGTCTATATAACATTGCTTGTATTTATGTTTTCGAGGACTGACCATTTAATATTGGATAACCAATTGATATGCTCTTCCTTGGGGAAGATTATTGCTCCCACTCTTACCATTCCTTAATTGCTTGCAGTTGTTTGTGTAGGGTTGTGAGGCTCATATTCTCTGCAATGAAGCAACATCAAATTTTATATCATTGATTCTTTAACTTCAGAGTCAACAGAATTAACAGAATTATAACTTTCGTCTGCACGATGATCTCCAAGCACGTGTTTTCTGTCAGGTACAATGTGGCCTATCTGTGAGTAAGAACTTAGCCAGCCTTTCGACACACTTGGCTAGTGAGGCCTGTTGGTTCCTGTTTTCATGTGTTTTCTAGCTGCTGTTTGTTCTGGAACTTTAACCCAGGCTACCCTGTAACTTCAGGTCCTTTTCGCTCAACCTCTGGGGTGCTGGGATTGCAGGTTTGAGCTGCCACCACCCAGACAACATGTAAACAGCAAAATCACCCATAAAACCCATAAAACTGTGCAAATGAAGCCCCTTAAATCCATGCAATGTGGACATTACTTTAAGGTAGAAGGCCTGCCACAGGAAGACACCCTCTTGTTCACCTGGGGTCATGTGCATTGCGTGTGTGCGTGCGTGTGTGTGTGTGTGTGTGTGTGTGTGTGTGTGTGTGTGTGTGTGTGCACTCACACATGGATACATAAAAACAACCTTCCAAGCCCATTTTTGTTGTTTGTGTGTAAATGGCTTCTGGGCTAACCATTTTGTATTGGGAGCTTGTCTCTAGGAAAGGTTATGTGTCCCTCTCCCAAAAGTTACACAAGTTTCTTCCTGATATGTCCAGTTTTTTTTTGGATTGTACTTATATTTCTGAGCATATTGTAAGTAGCTCTTTTAAAGCCCAGATGTGCTAATTTTATATTCCCCCCTTTTCCCCCTGTGATTTCTTCCATTCTAGTGGCGAGTAGAACAATTTCCTGTTCCTTTTATATTCTAATTTTTGTTGGATTCTCTGTAAGATGTCCTTTCCAATTTTTAAAAATTATTTTTATTATTCTGTTCATGTGTGTGCAGTGGTCATGTGTCACGGTGCACCCAGGGAGGTCAAGAGACGATGTGCACAGTTAGTTTGTCTCCTTCCACCATGTGGGGCCT